GCTATACCACCATATAATACTGCAAATGAAAATGAGCATTGATAAATTTCACTTTTAGTTCAGTTTCCCATCAGGCAGGGCTGTCTGGGAAGTACTGAGCATATAAATGGATAAATGAGATCTAGGTTATACGGCATGAGTTTTTGAGAGTTTGTAAATGGATATTTTTAACATACTTTTGCTATTGTCAAACATGGACCCCTATGACTTCAATTTGTCAAGAATTTTCTCAGTATTTGTATTCTCGTTTCACTGTGGGGGCATGCAAGAAAGTTTTCTTCATGAATTCAACATAACCCGGGGTGAGTTACTGATAAACAAATGGTCATTTTGGGGGTTAAGTATTCCTTTAATGTTGAGTAGAATCTACAGTTCTTCTTGATTGCAGCAGTACAATCATGAAAGGCAGTTAAGAGAACATATGTTGTGTTTATTAATAATGTTGTTGGTTAGTTAGTCTTCCAGCACTGGCCACAGCAGACAGATCAGTTCTTGAAAATTTCATATCAGTGCACTTTATAAAAAAATGCAGTCACATGTTTTTGTTTGCATACCTTTATCAAGAATCTGATCAGAATGTCTCATTAGAAACACATATAGTTCACACAAAGTGATCATTATTACAGTAATTACATCCAGTTGCCAGTTTATTAGGTACACCTAGGTATAATAAAGCAGTCCTGAATTAAATCCATTATGATGCTTCTAATGTTCAGTTTTTTGTGAAACTGTTTAAAAGGCTGCATGGCATTTCTGTCGAATTGTATGTTTCTTATATTTTGTCCACCCCATTTATAGTGTATACAGTATTAGAAACATCACTCAGTATAACATACAATAATTCATCAACAGTCCAAACTGAATCCTCCAAACTGTGACCATGAAGTTCAGTCTGCATCTAATGAGTGTGAAAGTTCATTCTTGACTTAAAGAGAAAGCAGACAAAAACAGCTAAATAACCTTCTGTGGAATGCAGTTGTAAGCCCAGGAAAAGGCCAGTAAGTGGACCTTGAGTGACAAAATGTTGTCAAAAAAAGGGAAGTGCTGGCTGCGTTAGTTGAAGCTAGGTGGACCTAATAAATTTGACACTGTGGATACTGTATGTTTTTGAAGTAAAGCAGTTGTGGGAGGAAATCTTCTCAACTGAAGCAGCGTCTCTCAAACTGAACCATTCCCTCTCTGTCCTCCAGAGTTCCCTGATGATGTTAACCCTGTAACCAAGGAGAAGGGGGGTCCTCGGGGTCCAGAGCCCACCCGCTACGGAGACTGGGAGAGAAAAGGCCGCTGTGTCGACTTCTAGTTCAGTGCTCATTCATCTGATACATCACAACTGTTATATAGAGATTTATAGTCAGTGGCACTTTGTAAATCGTTGATGCTTGTTGCTGTACACTTAAAAGTCTGACCTTCTCATCAGAAGGTGAGAATCAGGTAAAGATACAAAGTGTGTTTCTGACTGTGACTGTAGAGATACTTCCAGGGAACAAGGAGAACATTCAGCATACGTTCTGGACAACTTAAATAAGTGTACCATATGTGTATCCTGCCTGTAAATGTTGTGCATTTTGTTTAAAGGGTGATGCATAAAACAAATGTCATGTAAAATGATTTAAATATGGAAAGCTGCGAGACACAGTGATGGTGTTTGGTTGCAGGTGAGGATGGTTCTGAGTGCTGCTTCTGTAAGATTACTATGTTCTGTCCACAAGTATGAATGTTAAGATAAATTAATGAGAAGCTGATTCTATGTTCAAGTGCTGTGTGTCAGTCAATTTGTTTTGAGCATGTATTACACCTTAAAGAATGTCTGTACCTGAATTAGTCTGACTATACAGGGTTACCAAATGAATGCCTCAATTAAAACAAAAAGTTGAACCAGTCATATGGTTTGTTTCCCACAATAACCTAAACTAGTCCATACCCATTGAGTACAGCATACCATACCATGACTTAGTCATACCAAAAATTAGAAAGAAAATATAAACATTGGGCCACAGGGGGAGCCACTGCGATCAGTTGCATTTTAGCCATTTTTAAGCATTTTTCTGTTGTTATAGCGCCACCCAGTTGCCAATCAGAGTTAAATTTCTCCAGTCACCTTGAGGCGTCCTGTTCTACATATCTACCAAGTTTAGTAAAAATCGATATGGCGGTTAGGCCTAGATAAGAAATTAGCTCTCTAGCACCCCCATTTTGTTTGATCGGGTCAATAATGGAGGGGTCCCCTCAGATTATGTGTGGTCATAGGCCTACAAAGTTGCGTGGTGATCGGTGAAACCCTTGAGATGTTCTACACCTTTATGTGATGAGCCACACCCTCCACAATATTCATTGCCTTATAGAAGCTCAGTTTTAGTAAGTTTTCCAACTTTTGCGAAGAGGGAACTTTAGATATTGGTCCCTAGATTATGTTCACTGAGTTTCATGCAGATCAGTCAAACTTCCTAGGAAGAGATTGATTTTAAGTGTTTTTCAAAAAATTCTAAATGACAGAAAATCTATATAACTGGAAGTTATGGGTTCTTGAAGCAAATTTGTTCCTCATGAGGAGAGGCATCTCTGTGCAAAGTTTCATGTGTCTACAGCATAGGAGGCATGAGATATGCCCATTCAAAGTTTGCAATAGCGCCCCCCTTTGGCCAATTGATGTAATATTGCTTCATTCACATCCTCCCATGACCCCTCTACCACTGTGCCAAATTTCACATGGATTGACCAAGTCAGTGAGGAGAAAAATGTGGAACAGACACACAGACCGTTTTCGTCATTATATAGTAAGATCTGTTTTTTCTACTAATAACTGAATTTGTTTAACATCTGATCATAATGCGATCACACTGAGGTGACACTAGAAACACTATTGCTGCCTCGTTTGAACACAGCTTTTAAACAGACTGGTGTCTGTGGGTGCACACTGGTTTGGATGGATCATATGCGATTGCTGTTTGTGTGGCTTCAAGGAAAAAGAAACCAATTCTTTATCAATAGGACAAAGTCATGTAATTCAGACACTTTTTTTTGGTAGATTTTTGGTAGACCTAGAAAACCACCTAACACTCTGAAAACTACCTTGAGTTATACCTTTAGATATTGTTATGTATCTCCTCTATATTTCTATAAAGAAAATATGTTGACAAGTAAAATACTTAAAAAACTTTAGACAATCAAACACATCAAGAACCCCAACCACACTCTGATGACTCTGATGTTCAGGTAAAATGGGACAGTCATTTTTGTCTTTTAGGGGGTTAAGTCCATTTATCAGTTAAGTCGTTAATTGATTAAATTGTTAATGTAACGTCATTATAATAAAAAAGATTGTCCAGCTTTTCTGCCATGCATTCTATGTTCTTTTGCTGCCTGTTTTCTTGGTGCCATATTGTCTGTAGTGGACATGTGTTTGTGTGTTTACCTGTGTGTAACAGTGATGTCTAATTCTGGACTAAAGAGTGCCCCAGGAATGATTTAGCACTTAAGCACTTGTGGTTCCCTCATCTTAAAGTCAATGAGTTTTTTTGAATGGGTCTTTGGTTACATGCCTGAAATAAGGTGTGTGGCTAACACATGCTTAAGAGACTTTCATGTTTTGTTATACAACATAAAATACATCAGTACCCTGCTCTTAAATTTTGAAGCTTTTATGTGTCGGTTGCTAACAAGTGGCTAAATAAGACTACAGAAGGTCATCTTGTCAAACATGGCTTTACAGCCTTGTGGTGGTGATGCTAAGTCAACATTTTTTAGTTCTGGTGATTGCATTTGCCCTTCAAAAATAATGAGAGCAGTTGTCATTTGCACAGATTTTCTTGCTGGACAAAATGTGTACGTATCATAAACATTTATTTGCTACAGAGTTTATTTTCTGCAATAACCCAAAATCCAATGGAAAAAAATCCTATAGGCTTTTTGATGAGGGAACAGGGCGACGCTAACATTCATGTCAGCCTACGAAAAAACATCATCCCTGGAGCACTCTATTGTAGCTGACATGGACTTAATGCATCATATCTTCTAAGTGACAAAAACATTTAAATTAGAATTATATTATATGTCTACATAAGCTATAAACTACAAAAACTATTCGATTAAATGATTAATTTCTTACGTTCTTAAATATTTTTGTCAGATATGCAGTGATGATTGCTGGGTTATTTGTATGTTGATGTTGTCCAATGTCAAGTCTATAATTGTGTCAAGCATACATGCATAATAGTGTGCACTGGGACCTGTCGTAACTTCCTTACACCACTGATACATGGTATACCTTCCTGCTTTTTCTGGCCATTTACAGTATACCCAGCTATCAGCCAAAAATCCATTGGAATATATAGGAGAGTATACCCACTTCCCCCTCTGTAACCAACCCATCTACCTAGTAATAGGCTACACCCACCCCCTCAACTACCACTACACAACTGCTGTATTCTATAATTATATCATCATTAACTCGAGGCAATGTAGCAGCTGTGGCAGTGGAAGGTCTTACTGCAAGATCCATTATGTCTGGTTATAACGCCACTAAATATTTAAAGATATGCTTGCACTTCTTATTTTTCCCACTAAGGGGCAGAATAGAGCCACATCAGCCTGCTCCTCCTATTTACAGTCAAACTACCGGTATATGATGTTGCCTTCAGACGCCGTAAGAAATATTGGAACTATAACTTTTCACACTGCAAATCAATTAAAGTAATACGTCTGGCGTGCGGTTTTTTTTGTAATTGTCGGGGATTCATGTGAATTATTTTTTTTATGTCCTTAAGATTTATTTATATCCCACAAATGCTATATACATGCTGTACATAGCCCAATTAAGCCTTCTTAAACAGAAGACTATTAATTAGGATCGAGCGACAAACAAATAAGCAAAGTGTTTGAGCACACTGAGTCCCAGCAGACAGGGGCCGTGTTCTTATCACCGGTGAATAGACTCGTGCTAAATGACTCTGTACAGGACTGTGGGGAGACCGGAGTTGAAGAAAAGCACCTGAAGGCAGCACGAAGAAGCAGGAAGGCGGCAGCAGCAACAAAGCTTCAACGACTGGACACTCCTAGCTGAACTAACGGGGCACATTTGGTAAGAATAAGCACTCATTTGTATTGTTGTGACACTGAGACAGAATTGTAACTGCTGCTGTTCAACTTTGTTGCTAAATATTAGATAGGTGTCTCGTGGTGTGACTTCCGCCAGATAAAAGTGTCAGATTCTTAAAACGAGACAATTTAAGAAAGGGAAGCATAGCTTGGTTGTTAAAGATGCCGAATTTACGAGATCTTAATGAACTGGGAGAAAGTCGAAGTTAACAGCTGGGTTCCGTTGGTCCCGACGTGCGTCTGTCGATAAGCACGGACACATCCATGTATACGTGTCGCACATTTTTCATCTTTGTGAAATCTCAAAGGCAGCAATATCGCTGCAGCTTTAATCTTAAGTTACACATCTTGTATCTCTCTGCAGCTCTGATTTCAACTTTGATTCAGTCTCTGCAATGTTGTAACTTAGATTTTAACTGTCAGCAGTTTGATAGAATCAAATGAGCTCTGACAACCTTACACGGTCAGCTCTGTAGACTACAATGGCTCCCCGCTCTGTGTAGGTCACTTGTGTTTAGTGTCACTGCTTGTTGCCATGGTTTCATCCACTGTACCCTGTACTGGACACACTTCAGGGTCAAGACAGATAATGTGGGACAAATAAGGTTTACATCTTGGGCTCTTGAAATATTAGCAGCCAGTCAGCTAACATGTTATTGCATTGTTACTACAAATGTGCTTTACACGAAATAATCATTTTAATCGTTCTGAGATAACTGTGATGGGCAGATCAAAGATTCAGTAAACTCCCTAACCTGCCAGGTGAGCCATGTAGCATGTTGACTTTCTCTTTTTTGGTTAGAACTGTCATTCAGCTAAAACAACAACAAAGTTGGTTGTAGAATGTCACCTTTTATTCACAGTTTGACTTATAATCAATATTTTCACAATACCCTGTTGGAAATAATTTCCCATAGTTTTTAGAGTGAGTAGCCTAGTTAAAGCAACTCTTAACTTTCTTGCATTTCACACAGCACTTTTGAACATCCACAACTCCCGCCTCCCTCCAAAGTCCCATCTCCCTCCTCCTGCAACTCCCGCCTCCCTCCAAAGACCTACTCCCCCTCCTCCATTACGTCCTCATTACTTCTATGATAGACGGAGGCGTTGGCAAGGTAACGTTAGATCACCCTCAACAGTTACCAAAGTCTACTTATCATACATCAGACCACTATTCGAATACTCACCAATCATTGCATTCGGTCCGAATGCAATGATTGGTCGGAGTTTTCTTAGAACCATATGAGAATGGTTTAATTATGAGTTTGTATTTCTGGTGGAATTCACTTACATTTTAGTGTGCCAACAGCTTATCAATAGCATTTTAACCTAAACAAAGAAAAGTGCAAAAATTTCCAGAAAGTTAAGTGTTGCTTTAAAGTTTTCAGGTAAAATGGGACATTTTTCAGTAGTGAAACCAGCATGTTTTTAAAAGTCAAGTGTGTACCCAGTAGACTTGCACTGATTACAATTTTTTGGGCCGATACTAATTTCCAATTTGCAGAATGTTTGGACGGCCGATTCCGATTTTAGGCGATTCCGTTTTCATTTTTTTCAAACCACTTTACAGTACACAAGATATTGCAGTATTTTCTGTCTTTCCTTTATTAGAACATTTTAACCAAGATACAACCAGCTTTTCAATAATCATCTCAAACAAACAAACAAAAACAGTGACACAGGTCAAGAAACATTTTCCTTTTTGCTCAAATATAACTTCAGGCACAGTATTAAAATAAATAAGTAAAAAAGGCATGCATAAATAAAAACATAGATAAATAAAATAATAGTTCTTTGTGTAAAGCATTTGTGGGTAATTTCTTGAATGATTATTATGAATAATAATTCTCCTGTGGAAAATTCACACAGGTCTTCAGGACGCACACGCCAGTAAGCGCAGACACGCGCGTCTTCGGCATGCGGACACGCGCCTCGTCAGTTTCAAGCGGCACAGTGCAGCAGTGAGAGCTCCGCAGTTAAATTTAACACGGACAATTAACAACTTTCTCCTTCTCTCTTTTGATGTGTGTGCAACTGTGCGTGAATGATTAAGGTGAGAAGCCGCCCATGTTTCACTTCCTCACATAGCCCATGCCGTGAGTTGCACATGTGCGTGTGTGTGCGCTGCTGATGTTACACGATGTCAATCATGTGGCGCGCCGGGAATTTGACCGGTGTTTTACATCGTCATATTTTAGACTGACTGGCCGGCTGCAGGTCATGGACGATCACGTGAAAACCGGCCCGATTCCGAGCGCTGCCGATTAATCAGTGCAAGTCTAGTACCCAGTTAGCCAAAATGACGTGGCCCAGCATCGGCCCAAAATCAGGATGCTGGAAGAAATAACTTGGGCAGCATCCAGTTACCCATGTTGGCTGAGACTCAGCGTGAATGTTGCCACAGAATTGAGCCACTAAACTAGCCTTATTCCAGCTGCTGACACTGCCATCAGTGGGCCATTATCAAAAATGACATGGCCCAACATTGGCCCAAATTTGGCACCCCGGAAGAAATAAATTGAGCTCCATCCTGTTGCTGATTCTGACTCCGCATGAAAGACACAGCAGAATCAGGCCAAATAAACAAACCCTATCAGGGTCCCTGCTGGGCAAGTACTTCTCAAATCTACTTGCCCCATCTAAATTCTTACTTGCCCTGCCTAAGAGGGGTTTTTTTTCTGGCTGTGTGGTGCATATTTTCGCTCATGACTTATATCTTACGTCAGCAGAGACGCTCAGCCAATGGAGGCAGCAGCACATAAAAAAGCAGCACACTGCAGCTGGCCCCTCCGAGGACAGAAACAGGAGAGGAAATACACGATTACAGGCCTGGAGTTAAGATATTTTTAGGGCAAGCCCACTTTAGCCTTTGATAAATACAAATTTATTGGGGCATCACGGCCAAACTGTGGGGCACCAAGGCCAAAACCAATGGTGCAATAACACTATGTGCTAACTACATTGAATGAAGACAAAACAATATATGTGTTTAAAAACAGTACTATTAAAACTGGGTGTGCATGACTGGGGATATATCTCGTTTCTTGTTGTTTTGATTCATGTCCCTTATTTTTTAAGTCTTTGAAATCTCTTTATTCTTTTGTTATCTCCTAGTTATTAAGAAATTATTATTAGAAGAAGATTCTTTATTGTCCTTTCTCAGCACATAACATACATTTGACCTCTGCATTTGACCCATCCTACTGTATACACTGGGAGCAGTGGGCAGCCGCAGTGCAGCGTCCGGGGACCAACTCCAGTTCTTTTGCCAATGCCAGTGGTCAGGGTCACTGACAGGAGTATTCACCTAACATAGCCTACATATCTTTAACATTTATATGTCTCTATGTATGTTTTTACATAAATCCCCAATATTTAATTTGCCTTTAAAAAAATCCTCTTCCTTCATTTAATTTGACAATGTTTATCGTATTGTATTATATGTTTTAATTCTCTACAGAATCTTGTATGTTCTTTAATGTGTGTTCAATTTATTAAAAGAAAACAAAAAAAAAAAACGTTTTGGTGAACCCTGCAGCAAAGTGAGCCCTCTTCCTCAGAGAGGATCTTTGCCTCCCAGTTTGTTCCTGGCGGCAGAGCAGAGTGAACCGTATTTCTTCTCAGAGGATCTTTGTCCCATGAGAGCAGGCAGTGTAAACAACATTTGCTGGCGATTTGACAGTCACTAGAAGCACATTATGACCCTTTGTAAAAGTTTCTGTGTGGTACCTGTGTTGTACATGAGCTAACGTTAGCGGCTAAGGACTGAGAGGCTGTCCGGTATGTGTGTCTGTCTGAGGAGTGTCAGTACGTTAACTTGTTAGCCGTAGCCTTGCTGTTTGTCATGTTAATGTTAAAAAAAACAGGACATGCTACACTGGCCGTATGGGTAGGAGGGGGATTACGGCACTGGCCGTTTGGCCGTGGTATAATTCCTGCCCTGCGATTAGGGGAAAAAAAAATAAAAAATCCGAGTCGGTGCTGCTTGCCCGATCGGGCATGTCTGCGCAGAGTCTGTTGGCCTGCCGGCTATTTTTACTTGCCCCGGGCATTCAGGCAACCGTTAATGTTGGACCTTGCCTATTCTGGCTGCCAACACTGTCATCACTGGGAAGAATTAAAGGGAATATATTGGCAAAAATTGAATTTAATAAAATTATGGGTGTATTTTTCTGTTTATTCTTTAGTATATATAGCCCCCTTAAAAAGAAGAATTGTCATGTTTTTGTTACCCTAGAATGAGCTGTTCATATCTACATAGGGAGTGGGTCTTCATTAATAGATGTTGCAATGCCATGTTTCTACAGTAGCCCAGAACGGACAACCCACACACTGACTCCAGTTCTGGCCATTTGCGTTTCCTCATTTTCATACTTTCACGTTGGTCACCGTAGTTGAAAGCCCCTTTGTGACGAGTGGTGCCATAAAAACAATATTTTTTGTTTTTTTAGGTGAAACTAGTGCTGCACGATTAATCTAATCGCAGGTGCAATCGCGATTTCAGGCTGTGCGATTACATAACCGCATAAAAGGCTGAGTTTTAATGTAAATAAATAATGTGTGTGTCTGTGGACATGACTGCTTCTCCTGTAGTGTGTGGAGTTTGTTGACATCATGCCCACAAGCTATCCTGGTGTGTGCAGCATGTATGGTCAGGTGACCAACCGGCGCAACACAGGCTCGCTCCACTGTAAGTACAGTGCCCTGTTGCGCTGCTGTGTGAGTAGCGTGTTTGACTGTGCTCAGTCTGTTGATGGTCATTTACACACTGTCCATAACAATAACTATGTCAGGTCAGGTCAGTGCTCCCCTAATATAATGTAGGGGAAACACTGAATCAAGCAAGAAGACTAATGATACCATTTTTTTATTATATTGTAATCGCGATATTGTCCACTCCAATCGCAGACCTCTGCAAATAATTCAGCTCATGGTAAAAACATGAAGTTGGGGTTGGTGAGGTTCCTTTGACTTTCCAAGTTG